AGACAGACAGACAGACAGACAGACAGACAGACAGACAGACAGACAGACAGACAGACAGACAGACAGGCAGACAGGCAGGCAGAGACAGACAGAGACAGAGACAGAGACAGAGACAGAGACAGAGACAGAGACAGAGACAGAGACAGAGTGTGTGAAAGACGCACGGACAGGGAAGGTGAGTAGAATGGCAAAGAATCAGACCAGAGGAATGACAAGCTTCACAGGGTTCTCAATACTCACTGCAGGAGCAGACTGCTCTGGAGTAACACCAGAGGTCGGTCGGTGTTTAAGATGCAGGAGATTTTGAGTTGAGGAGCAGCCATTCCTATGATAAGTGGCCACCCTACAGACCGGAGTCACCGGACAAGACCGGTTCAGGTGTGGCCTGCGGACGCACCGCATCCAATTCTTGCAGTTGCAGTTGCTGCATTGAATGGTACATGCTGGGAACACAGAGGCACGTCGGCCGCAATTGTATAGGCATTGCCATTCCAACACAACCCCTGTCTACATATTCGACATGACATGTCAGGGGGTCGGTCGTACGTGAGCACAACGTTGACTGTCATCATACACATGAAAACAAAACCTTGCATAAACTATACCTTCATAGTCCTCGGGACAGAAGGCATCACATGCTAGTCGAATCTCAGGTGAGCCATCACAGAGTGCCATTGAGCAGGCTGCTTGGGTTTGAGCAGCCATTATTTCCTCTCTGTGGACAGACAACGACGGGTACTGATCCAGAACAAGAGTAATTACCTGTTGCAGGATTTGCTCTGCAACGGCTCGCCCCGGTGGTGATAACCTATCAGTACAGCGCTTTGTAGGGGCTTCATATGGTAGTCTATTTCCCTCCTCAGGCTGCTGTGTCTGTTGTTCATCTGGCGAGGATGAACGAGATCCAGCTGTGGTTGCAGCAGGTGTATGCCAAACGCTGCACTTTCGCTATACACAACTCCACAATGCCAGACTGTTCCTGCGGACTTTCACTGACTCATCAGGAGGTTGAACCCGAACAGTCTGCCAAGCATGCTTTTGACTGATGGATAAGGACTCACCACATCACACAGATTAAGCCATTCCCCTGAGGAAAGTGGTCGACTTCAGTCACACCAACTCTGTGTGTGTGTGTGGAAAGGGTGAGGGTGGGGGAATTGAGAGCTTAACGCATTCGAATTATAAACAGAATGCATCAGCTAAGAGCCTAAGAGTCATTCTAAACGCCATCAATCGGAGAGTAGTAACTCATTCATCGCGACCGGGGGTGGACTGGAGTCAACCACGCTACAAGGGTACAGAGACAGGGAGGAGGGAAGGGAAGGGGAACGAGCTCAAGAGGAAGCACTTGGCGCATGAAGAGAAATAAAGCTAGAAGACGACTGTTTCTCAGATAGAAAAGATCAGGGAAGACGAGAGGGGAGGTGGAGGCAAGTCAGTGGATGCAGAAAAGAAAAATACAGAGAGAAAGCTGTCTCTTATACACATCTAGATGTGTATAAGAGACAGCACACACACACACACACACACACACACACACACACACACATACACACACAGACGCACACACACACACTCACATCAGAACGACACAAGATTACATGGCCCCTTCGCACGGATGACACTCCCCATGTGTGCCTGTGAGTGCTGCCTACACTTGTGTGCGGGTGTGTTGTAGATTTTCACGACACCAGCCCCTGTTCCACCCAAATGAGTAGATTGAAAATCGATGCAGCGTTGCCTCGTTTGCAGACAATGAAGCACACTTGAGATGAGGCATTCAAACGATGAAACAGTTGAGCAAGCAACATGGAGCAGAATAGATCCGTTATATCCCTTCCTTGACTATCTTTGCTTCAGGCTTTCTTTGGTGTACCCCTTTGTTCTTGCAGCTCCCTTTTCACTGTGCCTCTCACATACAACGCTGGCCATGGTAATTGTGGTTGAGTGCCAGCTGCCCACATCCCCGTGTGCCTTAACGGCACACTTGCAGGTTACGAACGAGGCAGACAAAAGGCAGAAGTACTATATGACAGAAGCGAGGGAGGAGTTAGGGAAGAGCGGGCCGGGGGAAACGGACATCATAGGGTTCTCAGTATTTACCTCCAGAGCAGACTACTGCACAGTAAAAGTTGGGAGTGCCATCAAGGATGAAAGAGTCATTGTCATTTCGAATACGGGAGCTGTTGGGGTGAAATGAATCATGACCGGGGGAGTCCGATGCACTAAGCGGAGACTGATCGGCTGTGCTTGCAGGCAGAGTGGCTGCTAGTCGTGCACAGGCTGCATAGGAGGCCGCACCTCGTGTCTGGTGCACACACAATCCCGCAGCAGTGTGACAACCATTGCCACATTGGCGACAGCGGACTCAGTATGCACTGTTGCTGGCCACATGTACTGGGAACTACAACGTTGTTCCGTACGGTCGCGAGCATGGCAGAGGAGCACATCTCTATCTACGGCCGGGGACACACTGATCATGCTGTTAAGGGACAGACGAGACCTCTTTCTGGGAGGTGGCAGTGGAGTTGAGGCATGTCTGAGTCGACAAGGCATCCCTGACAGCTAATGTGACCATGAATGTGAGGATGGAGATGAGGATGATGAAGTCAATGTGGAAGGGGAGGAAGGAAGGGAGGACAAGGAGGACAAGGAGGACGACGAGGACGACGAGGACGACGAGGAAGAGGAGGACAAGGACGACGAGGCCGATGAGGCCGAGGAGGACGAGGATGACGAGGCCGACGAGGACGAGGACGACGACGAGGATGACGAGGACGACGAGGACGACGAGGACGACGAAGACGACGAAGACAAGGAGGATGAGGAGGATGAGGAGGACGAGGAGGACGAGGAGGACGAGGAGGAGCAGGACGAGGAGGAGGGAGAGGAGGGCATAGAAGGAGGGGAAGTAGGAGACAGAGAGGATGATGAGGTGGAGGATGCTGTTGAAGGGCGAGGGGGGGTTCATAATGGTGGCCGAGAATGCACAGGGGGAATAGCAGTGGGGACCGCAGGCGGCGAATGATTAATCCTGCACTCAGCTCAAACTATTTAGAGTCCTATGTTCCGGGTCACCTGTTGGGTTGGCCTCTGGCTGTATGCATTTTGGATTTGCACCACAACAGCCCCTGTTCCACGTAGATGAGTAGATCCCTAACCAAATCAACTTCACTTCTATTGCACACAATGAAGCACACTTGAGATGAGCTAATCCAACACTGAATCAGTTTTACCTCCATAGCAGCCAACACAGAAAATGATAGATCCATTATTTTCCTTCTTATCTTTACGTAAGTTCTCTTCCGGGTACCGTTTTTATTTGTTCTTGCAGCTCCCCTTTTACTATGCCTCTCACGCACAAGGCTGGACCCATTGATTGTCGTTGAGCGCCAGCTGCCCACATCCCTCTGTGCCTTAACGGCACACTTGCACGTTATTAAACGAGGCAGAGTAAAAAGGGGGTATACTCCTGTACAATTTTCTTTAGATCTTCAACTTATATATTCTCTCTTAGTGATCCTCATTCGTATGTATTTATTTGTAGTACACACAAGGGGAGGGACGAAGGAAGGGAGTGGTAGAGAAGTGTGTGTGAGAGAGAGAGAGAGAGAGAGAGAGAGAGAGAGAGAGAGAGAGAGAGAGAGAGAGAGAGAGAGAGAGAGAGAGAGAGAGAGAGA